TTTTATATATATAAAAGTATATATAATAAAATATATATATGGCATTCACTTAAGAATATTAAATATTCAGACACAACAAATACACATAACAGATTGTGTATGGAAGCAAATTCTTTAGTCAATTTGGGGAAGAACCAGGACTAAAATCCCAGGAGGAGGATGGAGGAGAAGGGATTCTGGGTTGGACATCCCCCATGGAGGGTGATTTCTTTTGAACAAATATGTTTCCCTTCCTGCTTTTTATGAATGATGATTACTTCTTAACCAAGATGTCTACAATTTCTTTCTCAATAATCTTTGTGGGTTTGTCTGTTCCAATGAGACCTACACATAGCTCCCAAGATAAGTATTTGAGACATCATTTTGTCTCAGCCTCAGGAACAGGGGCTTCCTATCAATTATCAATCACATTTGAATTTCTCAGCTCAGAAAGAAACTTCCAATTGTTCTGCATATACTTAAATGTATCTCTTAGCAATTCCACATGGTACCATTCAGTCTGGGCACATTACTCCTCATTCTCAGCCATGCCCAGAAAGAAGAATATCACATGTTTTCCCTCATAAGTGGAAACAAGAAAAAAAAAAAAAAGGACCTCACAGAAGTAGAGATGAAGAATGCCTACTAGAGGCTGGGAAGGAGGGGGGGGGAGGGAATAGAGGAATGCTTATTAACAGAAACAAAATTACAGATGGTGTGGTTGATAGCAATTTACTGTGTATCTCAGAGCACCTGAAAAAGAAGATTTTGAATGTTCCCAATACAGAGTAATGAGAAATGGTTGCAATGCTGGATATGCTCATTACTCTGAGCTAATCATTGCGCGTTGTACCAATGTGCTGGAAAATCACATATGTACAACCATTATATGTCAGTATAAAGCCCCATACTCTTTATTCTTCATTTATAGTTTTGCTGTTCACTGTATTGGAATGCCCTTTCAACCAAACTATATATTAAAATTCAATTCTTCATGAATTTTTTTCTTTAAAGAGAAATTTTTGCTATAGGGCATATGTACTCACCAGAGAGACAGAGAGGAAGTGAGAAATCACCCACTCAGGGGGGTGGCCACGCTGCAATATCTTCTTGTCTATTCGCCTCTCAGGATCTTGGTTATGCACACACATTGGCCATTGTAAGTTCTAAGCTGCCAGGTACGGGACTCAAACCACAGTCAGCCATATGGAAGTCCAGCACCTAAACCACTATTTCACCTCCTGATCCCAATTCATGCACTCTTAATGTGAGTCTTAGGGAATGCTGGATATTTATAAGGCCCACATTGCAGACAAATTTGTATGCATTTTATGGGGACAATGAATCCATAAATTAAATCAGTTTAGTAAGTGTTTGCGCCTGTCACAGCTGCTCCCTCTAATTGCTCTATAGTCGGCAGGAATTTAATCTGGATCCAGAGTAACTGACCATAGTCAGGAACATTTCAGATTCCTTGTCTCCACATACAACTTCCATTTTACAGACTGTCTTGAAACATAGTTTTCCAGGGGTGTCTGGTAGTTCATGCTATAGTAGGCATGCAAAAAAACATGACTGTGTACAGCAGCTGCAGTGGAAGCCAGCAGCCTGCATGTGTGGGCCAGGGATAGCAGATAGGAGCTGGTACTTGAGATGAGACATAATGGATAATCCAGAGAAGGATGGCATTTCAGTCACAGGCAGGAGACTTCCATCTGAGCAGATGGAAGCTTAGGAGTCCCAGTAGGTTCAGCAACTGCTGGGGGTGGGGCAGGAGATGAGAGAGACAGCAGAGGGCATCAGAAAGGCCATCATGAAAGACCATGCATGTCCCACAGAACGGTGCAGGTTTTATCCTGTGGCCTAGGAGAGTTTCAGATGAAGCCTGTCATTCCTCCGCCACATATACTTCATAACAGTGAATGCTAAAGCCACAGCTGCTACCTCTTGGGGGAGCATTCCTTGTGGTGCCACGTTGAGTGGCAATTACAATTTCCAAATACGTATTTGTTTAGCAAATGCTTAGAGAACTAGCATTGTAACATACTGTTATATCCCAAATGTTCTTTAATTCTTCTTCTTTCTAGTCAGCCCCAAACCCTGAGATAGTCAACTTGAAAGACCTGTCTAAGAGCTTTGCTGACTCTTAATAACGTGTGCCCCATCAGAGCGCAGTGCACAGGCAGCTGTCCCGCCCTCTCTGCAGGACAAGAGGTGGGTTTGCTTCCTGGGAAGAACTGGAGAAGTGCTGGCCTGCCCCTTCACATTATTTCTGACTGTAGCTTTGGAATGCCTTCAGAAACTGAGAAGTACTGAGAGGAAGGACCAAAGGGAGTTTTAGGAGCAAGTGTCCCATTTCATGTTTCCTAATAAAACCTGATACCTGCAAAGCTGTGCCAAAGTTAGGTACTCATTTAAAGAAACAGCCATGTTTTCTCTTGAGCATACTTCAGTTGGTCTCAGAAGTTTCTCAATGCCAGTCCTCCAATGGGATGGGGCACTGCTCTTGGCTCCCCTCATCCCGACTTCTCTACAGGTCCTTAGGTTCTGCCAAAGGCAGCATATGGCATCATGACTCAGGGACAAGCTGATGAGCATGGTGATGACAAAGGGTTCTGACGCAAACCCCCTTCATCCTTTTACCCTTAACTGTGGAACCTGAGAGTAGAGACTTTTCTCTTCGGAGTGAATGATTGCAAAATGCCTTCTTGTTTTCAATGTGGTCCCTCATCTTGGGACTCATTATTTCTTTAAATATGCCTAAACGTGACTTAGTAATTTTATCCTCTTATGAAACTTATATAAACAAACAAAAGGTGCTTGAGGTGCTACAAATATTCGATCCCAAGCTCTCATGTGGCTTTTACCTTTCTTAGACTGGTATGAGATAAAAGGAAACTGGCTGTTTTCTTGTTAAAGATCAAGGTAATCAGGATGGTGATTCAAGACATAGTGTTGATCGCTGCAGGGAGAGGGGGAGGCCATGTGATGTTTTTCTATTAGGCACAGTATGTCAGATTTATGTCACTGTCAGAAAGGGTATTTCATTTCATGCCTATTTGTGATTTCTCTGTTGCTGTCGTTACCAGTTTTAAATTCCTAGCATCATCCTCAGTAAACAGAATGAGACTGTTAGTGGTGCATCCCAACAGTAAGAGAATAGCTGCTATTTCAGATTCTTACTCAATTCATGCACTGTCCTTCTACGTAAATACCAGTCTTATTCTTATCTCCACAATAATTCAGTGAACTAGAGGGTGTTTTTCCTATCCCACAGATGAGAAAACAGAGTTTAAGCAACTTGTCCAGGTCATACTGCTCTTGTTCATGGAGCTGGGATTAAAACCCATGCACTCACTGACAGGACTAGGTAGGATAAGGTAAGAGATATGCATAGTACAGGAATGGTCATGATATAGTCCCTGCGAAGAATACCTCTATCAGGCCAGCCCATGGCATGGTGGTTAAGGTGGCTGGACCCCTCATGGCCAACTGTGCAGTTCAAGTCCTGGACCAGTAACAAAAACTATGCCATATCCGTGTGTGTGGGTGTGCCCCAAATCCCATAAAGAGCAAGAAATGGAGGAAGCAGATTGCTGAATGACCATAGGGGTTGTTTTCTCACTTTCTCTTTCTCTGTGTCCCTAGCAAGTGCATGTGCCCTCTAGTAAATTTTAGAAAATACTTAAGTAAACCTTTTTCTATCTCTCCTTCTCTGTGCAGCTGTTGTTCATGGTGGGGGAAAGGGGCAAGAGTATCTAGGGCACAACATTTATGGATGAACTCACTCTCAGCCTTGTGCCAGTTCAGGATTTCTATCTGAGAGCAAGAAGTGCTTCCTGAAATCATACCTTAGTCCCAGACTTGCAAGCAGCCTTGCTGTGGAATCTGTGTGCTTAGTCCTTATACATCTTATCTACCTGGCTTCGCCCTTATGGATCAGTCGGTCTTCTATGTGGAAATAGATAAAACAGCCCCAAAGTGGCCTCTAGGTGCTGAAGAGACCTATAGAGACATAGCCCAACCCAGGTACCTTTCCTTAGGGTGTCCCCATGGCCTTTGGTTGGCCATTCTCTCATGCTGTGTTGCTTCCCGTGCTTCTCTCTTGTGCCTTTGTCTCACTTTACCCTCTTTAGTACAGAGGAAATTAATACTCCTTACTTGAGAAGTAAATTTCTGTATTTGCAGAACATCACAGAATACGGTCCACACTTGTCAGGCCAGGTGTTCCCAAGTGCCTTACTGTCAAGCCCAGGCACACCTGAGGTGCCCATTCAGGTCAGTGGTAATCCGAGGGTATACATGAGAGGATCTCAGAACAGAGTCTTGTGAAAGAAATTCAAACTGCCTCAGAGAAAAGAAAAGGTAGGGGATAGTCTACAATCCTAGGACATTAGGTGAGGAACTCTCCACCTCAAAGACCCTGTACACTTGAAAATCCTTTAGTGCACTGGGTAGGTTCTGAATGGGACTAGACTTTTCTAGTTTGCTGACAAATGGCAAAGTGATTGCTAAGGCAGAGATCCTTCTCTTGTTCTGTATGACTGAGCCTTAAGAGGACACTGGGATGGTGGCTGACAATATGGGAACTATCTGTGATACCCTTCAGTGACAGACCAGCCCATTCCTAGAGTCAATGGACCACAGAAAAAGCACCTGTAAGCTCTTAAAAACATGTGTCCAAGGCCAGCAGTAGCCGAGGTATGGCTGAAATGAAAAGGGTATTGCAATCTGTTCACTTTGAATTTCTCAGCATCACTCTAAAAAATTCTTGGTAGTTCTTCTAGACAAACTTTTGACACTAACATCTGAGCAGCTTAGTTGCTCCTGCCTTTTCCTCCCTTACAGAGATTATGCCAACAGATCGTGTATTAAGGACAACACCAAGCAGAGAAGTCAAACAGTGCTAAGCTGAAGAAAGATCTAGGCTTATGTGATTCAATGTAATATAAACAAGACTATGATAATAATAAAAAAAAATTAAAAAAGAAAGATCTGGGCTGTGGGGGACCAGCACTTGCCTCTTTGATCAGGTTCATGAATCTGGGTCCGAGGCGCCACGGCTTGTGTCGATGACACTGTAGGGAGCTGACGGTCAGCTGGGAGGCCCGGTGGGAGGCAGTGGCCACCATGTACACAGCATCGTACATCAGAGCTGCTTCAGTCTGCAGAGGGAAGCACATGCTTCATCTGTAAAGCCACCTTTGCTTGCTTTCCTTTAACGACACAGTCACCCTCCCTGCTTTCTTGGCCCCATTCGTCTGATTTCAAAGGCCTCTTATTCTTCAGCAGAATAGTTTTACTCTTCAATAGCTTTTTAGGTAACGTAATCCTCACATCCCAAAGTAACTTGGAGTTATAACTTTGCTTTGTTTCAGGTACTTATTTATTTCATTATTTTTAAAGCAGCTTTTATTAGCCATTGGACTTTACTCAGAGAACAAATATTTTGGAATGCCTTCAATGTTAAACACAGTGTTAAATCAACAGCAATCAACAACATTGAACTACAAGCTACTAAAGCTCAATATTGCAATATCAGATTTTGTTGTTCAATCTTTTTCTATATCTGTTTATCTATCTACTCATCAATTTACATTTTGTAGAAAGAAACTGCCACAAGTAAAGCTAATAGGTGATTGCTAAGTAAGAATATTTGGGTTGGTCACTTCTATTTACCTGAGTCAATAAGGTCTTAGTCACGGAATTGAATTCAACAGTGAGTTGGGATGACTTTCTGAAGAACAGACACGTGTAACGTGTTCAGAACATGCCTGCTCTTGCCATATGTGCTTTCTTGATGGAGACTGAGAATAGTTCCATGTGGGGCTGGACGTCTCATTTCTTCCCTTCTTCATGAAATTTCTCTCATTTGCAAAATTTTACATAACATGTCATTTTATAAAATATATTGCTCTTTAGTCATTTTAAGGATAAATTTTTGTAATATCTTTACATTTTACTTGAGGTTTTCTTTGTAACTTTAAATACACGAGCTTGTTTGAAGTTTTCAATACTCCCTCACACTACAAATAAGCAGAATGGATAGATAAGGCAATTTTAATGTGGAAAACTAACCTCCAGGTAAGGAAGATATTGATTTCTGTGTGTATATATAAATATGTGTGTGTGTGTGTGTGTGTGTGTGTGTGTGTGTGTGTGTATATCAGAAATTTACTTCTCAAGTAAGGAGTATTAATTTCCTCTGTACTAAAGAGGGTAAAGTGAGACAAAGGCACAAGAGAGAAGCACGGGAAGCAACACAGCATGAGAGAATGGCCAACCAAAGGCCATGGGGACACCCTAAGGAAAGGTACCTGGGTTGGGCTATGTCTCTATAGGTCTCTTCAGCACCTAGAGGCCACTTTGGGGCTGTTTTATCTATTTCCACATAGAAGACTGACTGATCCATAAGGGCAAATACAGATAGATAAGATGTATAAGGACTAAGCACACACACACACACACACACACACTCACACACACACATATATATATATATATATATATATATAATGCTATTTGCTTGGTATTATATGTATATAATAACCAGCAAAGCTAAACCTAGAACCCAGGTCATATAATGTAGAATATGAAGTGGTTTTCTAATATTAGGTGACTTGTTTAGCATTTAATATGCATTGATTGAGCATATTTTTATTTTTGAATTTTAATTTTGCCAGAGATTATGTTTGCTTGCTAGTGTGTGTGTGTGTGTATGTGTGTGTGTGTGTGTGTGAGAGAGAGAGAGAGAGAGAGATAGAGAGAGAGAGAGAAGTCAGAAAGTACCCCCAAAATGGAATGGTCGTGATGCAATCTCTCAATCTATTCTCTCCCATTTATTGCTCCTTTTAAGAGTTAAGGCATTCAGGGACCAGCAGTTAGCGTAATGGCTATGTCGCTGGACTCCCACATAGTCAACTGTGGTTCAAATCCTGGACCCGGTGGCTTAAACTCACACCAGCGTGTGTGCGTGTGCGTACCCAAGATCCCGAGAGGAGAATGGAAGAGAAGGGATTGTGGGATGGCCATCTCCCTGGGGGAAATTTCTCACTTTTCCCTCTATTAGGGTTTTTTTTTTTTTTTTTTTTTTTTTTCTCTGGGGCACGCTTTCCTCTGCAAAAAAAAAAAAAAAAAAAGAAAGAAAGAAAGAAAATAAAAAAAGAGTTAAGGCATCCAAACACATGATCAGCATGCTTTAAAGCTGCCAGATCTGGACCTTGGACCATGCAGTTGGCCATGTGGGGTCCGACCACCCCAAACACAGCACCGTCAGCTGGCCCCATTGAGGGTAACTGATGGAGTAGCAAGGAAGGATAGAGGGTACTACACTTTACAGTCCTTTAGTCCCTCAGCTAGGGAATGTCTTTACTTTGAATTCTTATTCTGTGCAATCCTTATCACTACATTTTCTATGTTTATTGTCATTTATCTATGTCACTGGACTCCCGCATAGTCGACCACGATTTGAGTCCTGGACCCGGTGGCTTAAACTCACACTGGGTGTGTGTGCATACATGCCTAAGATCCCAAGAGGAGAACGGAGGAGAAGGGAAGGTGGGGTGAGCATCCCCCCGAGGGGTGATTTCTTGCTTTCTGTCTCTCTGTCTGTCTTTCTGGCGAGCACACGTGCCCTATAGCAAAATCATCTCAAAAAAAAAAAAAAAAAGAAAGAAAGAAAGAGAAAAAAAGAAAGAAAGAGAGAGAAAGAAAGAAAGAAGAAAGAAATTTGGGCACACACACACACACACACACACACACATCTGGCATTTTTTAAAGCTCCTGGGGCTGGTATTTGAAGAGGGGCTGGCCGTGTGAAATTTGGTCCCATATATGCATTGAGTGTAAGTGCTACATCACAGAGCTGGCCCAAGATACAATTTAAGATAAATCATTTCATTCACACTTATATAATTGATGTAGGTTTTATATTAGTGGTAGTGGTGGCAGTGATTGCTAAAGTTTAGAAATGTTTTGACCATTTCAGTTATAATCTTTTTTTTGAGGAAGAGAACATGGAGCCTTATGGAAATTAAGTGACTGTACAGGCTACTCTGCTAATCAGCGTCATGAACAGGGGTTTTTTTTTTTTTTTTTTTTTTTTATGCGAACTTTTTTTTTTTTTTTTTGAGAGATTTTCACTGTAGGGCGCGTGCGCTCGCCAGACAGACAGAGAGAGACATAGAGACAGAAAGCGAGAAATCACCCCCCAGGGGGGATGGTCACGCCGCAATCCCTTCTCCTCCATTCTCCTCTCGGGATCTTGGGCACGCACGCACACGCGCCGGGCATGAGTTTTAAGCCACCGGGTCCGGGACACGAACCGCGGTCGACTACGTGGGAGTCCAGCAACATAGCCATTACGCTAACTGCTGGTTCCCATGAACAGGGTTTTAACACATGCTTGTCTGATCTTAGCAACCACATTCGTTATCTGTCTGGATACTAATTTGGTTAAATTGAGGAAGAGTAAACTATTGGCAGATTCAGGCTGTTAAAAATGCAATCAATGATAATAGCTGACATTTATCAAGCACTTGCTATATGTCAGGTATTGTTCCAAATTCTTTAGAAACATTGGATTTTCACCATATCTGTTACTCCTTGGTAGATAAAGAAATAAGAAATTAAATGGAAGTCCCAAACTAGTAGTGGAAAAGTCAGTATTTAAACCTGAGAAGTTGATGTTAGAGTTTATACTCTTAACTATGAAGCTATTTTGCCTCTAAACCAAATTACTTGACTGATGATTTAATTATCACAATAATAGCTCAATCGTGGTTCAAATTTACTAACAATTTACTACATGCTAGTCTTAAGCATTTTACATATGTTATCTCCTTTAATTATTTAATCAAAACTCTTAAAACAGGTATTGTCCTTTTTTGACAAACAGGGAAATTAAAGTATGGAGAAATAGAATAACTTATCTTAAATTATGTAGCAATTGTAAACCAACTGCTTTTGTTTTTGTTTTAGATTTTTGTCATGAGGCATGTGTGCCAGAGACAGATGGATCAAAATAGAGATGGAGGGAAAGTGAGAAATCACCTTCCAGTGGGGATGGCCATGTTGCAATCCCTTCTCCTCCATTTTCCCCTTGGGATTTTGAGCATGTAAACACACACACCCATGTTTTTCAAGCTGCCAGGTCCAGAACTTGAACCTTGGAGCCAACTTTGTTGGGAGCAAGCACCTTAACCATCACACCACCTGTTAGCCCAAAGTATACTGATTTTTAACAAAAATTTCAAGAACGTACAAAAGAAAAGGACACTCTGTTCAATACATGGTGTTGGGAAGACTGAATATACACATGCATAAGAATGAAATTAGACCTTATTTTTCACTATATACAAATATGAACGAGAATTGTTTCAAAGACTTAAATATAAGACCTGAAACTACAAAACTGCTAGAAGAAAACACAGGAGAAAACACTGTGACATTGGTCTGGGCAATAACTTTTTGAACAGGACTCAAAATACAGGTAACAAACAAATCGGATTATATAAAACTAAAATACTCTGCACAGTCACAGAGTAGGGGAAGGAAGAAACAGAGTAAAGACTCAACCTACAGGGCGACCAGCAGTTAGCGTAATGGGTATGTTGCTGGACTCCTACGTAGTCAACTGCAGTTCGAGTCCCGGACCTGGCGGCTTGAACTCACGCCGGGCGCATGTGCGTGCGTGCTCAAGATCCTGAGAGGAGAATGGAGGAGAAGGGATTGTGGCGTGGCCATTCCCCCTGGGGGGTGATTTCTTGCTTTCTGTCTCTCTGTCTCTCTCTGTCTTTCTGGCGAGCGCACTCGCCCTATAGCAAAAAAAATCCCCTCCAAAAAAAGGGAAAAAAAAAAAAAAGAGTCAACCTACAGAATGGGAGAACATATTTTTTCAGACTATACATCTGATAATGGGTTAATATCAAACAATCCAATAGCCAGAAAACAAATAATCAGATTAAAATATGGACAAAAGATCTGGATAGACTTTCTCAAAAGAAGACATACAAATGAATAACAGGCATGTAAAAATATTCAACATCACTAATCATCAAATAAATGCAAATCAAAAAACAAAAACAAGCAAATAAACAAAACCAAGCAAACCAAAAACAGAAAACAAAAATAAATAAATAAATAAATAAATATAAATACAAATCAA